GGAGAAAGTCTCATTAAGTTGCCCAATTGGTCTTGAACTTGCAATGCTCTTGCCTCCTCAGTAGCAGATATTACAGATATATGCTGCTAGGAACCACCCAAAAACACGATCACGGACTTCAGAACTGTACCACAGAAGAGCCTCCGAGTTCTCCAGCTAACCCCTCCTTGGACCCTCCCCCAAACTTCGGGCCTGTTGACTTGGGTGGAGTGCCAGCCAGCCTGGTCTGGTCTAGCTCATGGCTGAGCCCTTTGGAGCTCAGTAGCTCAGCAGTATGGTGTCAGGACTGATCTGGATGCTATCAGATGAGTGATTATTTGCATCCCCAAAGAAGAGCATGGGACTTGGGGGACTGTCTCTCACCAGCACTCTAACTGAATGACCTTGGATAAGACAGCTCACCCCTCAGCCACAAACACCACAAGCTTAATGGGATTACAGGAATTAAGCATGTAGAATTCTCAGAAAAGCGCCTGGCACTATCTGCTGTTCCATCATTATTCAACCACCAAAAGTCAGGAATGACGAGAACCTTGACCACCCCTGCCTCAGTTGCCCGTGAAGTATGTCCAGCTGCCGTAGGACAGTAGAATTGACTGGCATGTCCCTTAGTTCACCCTCCCCTAAGGTTGGTATCTTTGCCTCCATTTGGCAGATGTGCAGACCCAGGCCAGACCAGATAGAGGTACAGACCAGATGTGCACACTAGTTGGCTATGTAGAAGACAGACCTAAGGCCCAGGAGCCATTGCTGCTGCGCACATGGTATTGCCTGGAAACTCCCTCGAAGCTGGCCTCTGCTCCTGCCCTCACTATGGCCACAGAGGGACTGACCAGCTTTCACACAGATTTGCCTGCCATCCCTGACAGTCTGGCTGGCATCTGCTAGTGAGACTTGAGCGGATGTGGTCAGGGCAGCCAGTGGGCGGGCTGGGGTGGAGGCTGTTGGCTTTATCATACCGGCTGAGACACTTTGCCACATGGCTGGATTGTGGCAATACTAGAAAGCCTCCAAGCAGAGGAGGCTCCTGCCCACGGCAGCCAGGGCAGGTGTGTTTCCTGGGGCTATGGTAATTCCCTTGCCCACCCCCACTTCCACAAGTCAAATGGCCTTTCCAGGAACCCTGGGGTGGGGTTGAGGCGGGACTCCTCCTGATACTGCTAGCCCTGGGGCAATGTGTGCTCTTGACCCCAGCTGGGAGCAAAGGAGGCCAGGTGTCAGGGCTGGAAGGCAGGCCCGGGTGGCTGTGACAATTTACCCTCTAGACCCCCTCCTCCAGATTGCTGGGACAGTCTCCCACTCACAGGGCAGTTCTGAGGACTCAAAGTTAGGGGGAGGGGGAGGCTGCAGCCAGCACTCTCAGCAGCATGCCAAGGTGGGTGGCTCCTCTCCGCTGCCCTGGGGGTAGAGGCCACAGAGGGTGGCCCAGGGTAGCAGAGGCTCCCCATCACTCTTGGATTCTGCTAAAAGATGAGCAGCCTGTGGTTACTAAAGAATTAACTGCTGGCTCTGGCCAGGGTCCCAGAAGTGGAAGTGTGGCTGTGAGGTCTGGGAAGTCCCGCTGCCCTGGTGTGGTGATGGGGTTCATCTTTTCAAAGACAGAGAAGATGCTTCCCAGGGGGCCCATGCTAAGACAGATGCACACCTCCAGGGATGTCCCTTGTCCCCCCACTTCCTGAGAGTGCCGTGCTAGGTTCCAGTCTCCTAAGTTCCTGCCGGGTTTTGAGATGGGTCATACCTGCATGGGAGTGCTCCAGAGATTTGCTCATAGACGGACCAGGATGAGGCCAGATGTAGGGGTGATTATCTGTGCTTCAACCCCAGAAGCATCACCCCTAGCAGGCAGGAAGCAGGTGACTTCTAGGTACCTGCCCCTGCCCGGGGCGTGGCCGAGACAGGGACCCCTTAGACCTGAAATGCTTAAATGCTTGCTCCCTCTTGGCTACCTCATGATCCCAGATGCTGGATGCTGGTACTGCAGACCAAATCAGAGTTCTCCAGAGAACCACGTTGGACCAGGCCTCACCTCTCCTGGATTTCCTGTAACCAACTCCCTTTGCTTGTTGTAAATAAACTCAAAATAAACCCCTTTTGACTACTAGATAAACTATGTGGAATTGCCTCATTAATTGCCACTTTAGCCAGTGGTGGGGTTGGGCCAGGAAACTGAAGCGGTACCTCTTACATGGCAGCCTGGGCTCTTGGGCCTACAGTTCCCTCAAAGGGGCCTTACTGGCTCTCTGGGTCCCCACCCTGTGACCCTTTTAAACAAGGAACCTAGAAAGGGAGGGCAAGTCCGTGAGCGACTTTGGAACCAGCACACCAATTCATGGAACTCCCAAATTCATGGTCCCACGACCTCATGCCTCCCCTCACCCATTCAGGGGCCATCTATCAAGATTACACTGGAGTCAAGTCTGAGGCCCCAGGTGGGAACTTTTCAGACTGGACAGGTGCCGGGACAGGCCATCAGCTCTGTCGGGTGTGAGTCACGCAGTGGAGTCTGGTTGGAGGGGGGCTGAGGGGGACTGAGGGGGACCGGTGCCTCCTGCCATCTGCTGTACAGACCACCCGAGATGCCTTCACTCCGTGCAGTGTGGTCCCACCAGGAGTTCCTCGCCCGGAGGACTCACAGAGCTGTATCATATGCAGGAGGGCTTCACTGGATCTGCAGAAAGGGTTTAGTAGCCATCTGCAGATCAGGAACTGCCAGATGAGACAAAGTGAAAGTGTTTTCTCAGATGTGGGGCTTCCTGGAGCCAGTGACAGTACAGCTGCTCAGGACCGAGGCTGGGCCGCCTGCCCCCCCCCATGCAGGGACTCTCTTCCTGCAGTTTGTGGGGCTCGAAGCCAGCTCCTTACTGCACCCCACTGGCAGATTTTCCTAGCTGTGTGGCTTTCGCACCCTGCTTGGGCACAGCCCTGTCACACCAGGGCGGTGACGCTGGCTGGAGTGGGTGTGGCGCAGGGCTCCTGGGGTGGGCCTGACGCATCTGCTGCAGGAGCCCCACTTCCCAGAGCAGCACCTGGGCTGGGAGGAGCCCGTCGGAGAATCTGCGGGGTGCGCAGGAGGAAGTGAGGAGCCAGGGCTGTCCTTCAGCTTCTGCAGCAGCGGAACCCTCAGTGGCCGCCTCATCTCCACTGGGACTGTGCTGGGTCACCACAGACCAAGGCTTCTTGAGTGACTCAGAAGCAGCCACAGGTCCCCAGGAGGGCCTCTTCTGGTGCAGAACTGGGGTAGGACAGTCCTTAGGCCCCCAATTCCTGGATCTCCCGTCTCCCTCAATCTCACAAGAACGGCTGCTCCAGGAAAAGGTCATTTTATTTTCATAAATACTCCCGCTGTCACCCACACAGACCCTACTTTTGACCACAGATGGGTGGGCAGATGTGAGGTGCTCACAGGAGGCCCCAGCAGAAGCTGATGAATGAAGCATGGAACTCTGGGAGTTCCATGGCCCTCCAGGAGGGCATGTCCTCGGGCTTTGCTTTCAAGTTCCCATGGCCCTGCAGGAGGCCTGAGAGCAGAGGGAGGCCTCCAGAGGGCCAGGAGCTGAGTGGAGCTCCTTCAGCTCTGAGACCACAGGGCCATTCCAAAAGCAAAGCAAAGAGCCAAACCACACACCAAGTGCAAACAGCTAGGGCGTGGGCATTACCCCAGTCACTGGGTCCCACAGAGGAGGCCCGGGCTGGTCCCAGCTCCAGCATGGCCTCCAAGTTATGGCTGGGCCTTTCCGTAAGGCATAAAAGACAGGTGGGGAAGACCCCACCTCAGGCTGGGGTCAGAGCTGGGCCTAACAGCCATGCTTCTTCCCTCACTCCCGAGAGTCTTTCCAGGGCACACAGCCCCTCCCTGTTCCAGGCTCCCACTGGTGATGGGGATCCCAGCAGCTATGGCAATCCCAGGCCCAGCCTCCTGCCGGGTTTGGCTCAGCAGGAGAAGAGGCCTAGGGAGAGGGAAGTCACTGGGGACCACAGGAAGGAGAGAAGCCCAGGCTGAGCAGGACTGGGTCCTGTTGCCCTCCTCTCTCCAGCCACCCCGTCCTAGAGGCTCCCCCAGGTTTCTGGAGGGGGGAACTGATCCACATCTCCCATCTCGTTGTAGGTCTGGTCGCCCATGGTGAAGATGAGCTTGTAGCGAAGGCGAACCTTCTCCTGGGGCACAAATGGCAGAAACAAGGATTAGAGCAGGAAAGAGGTCAGCACCATCCCGGGCACTGCCCTGTCATAGCTGGGCCCTCACCTTCTGGGGGTTAGCAAGGAGCAGGACCTGGGTGATGGCTGAGGGGTGGACGATGGGGTTAAATGCTGGCAGCTCTGTGCCCGAAGGAGGCTGCAGCCTCACCTTCATGACCTGAGGGCAGGAGATGTACGGCTAGCTGGTCAGGCGGCCACTGATGAGGACCCAGCTCCCTCCCAGGGTCTTAGGGATCTCTCCTCTGGCTCCCCACTGCCCCTCCCCCAGCTCCCCAGTGAGGGAGATCCTGTCCCCTGACCATGGCCAGCCAGCTAGCTGCCCATCGAGTCTCAGGGAGGAAGACCTGTCTGGTCTGCCCTGTCACCTTAGGGACAGCCGACTGGAAAACAATGTTGCGGATGGGCTGGGGGGCGGTGCTCAGCATGGAGACCACCACCACCAGCACGTCAGAGCGCCCTGGCAGTGGGTCCCGAGCAAAGTGGAAGAGGACGCGGAAGCCATGCTGGTCATAAACTGTCACCGGCAGGATGCTGCCTGTGGAGAGAAGGGTTGAGGGTGACGAATGGGTGGAGCCAGGACATACCTATCCGCCTCTCACCCAGGGTCTGGCCTCCACGGGCCCGAAGGCACAGTGGGATCAGATGGTGGAGGCTGGACACCCACCCTAGAGTCAGGTCACAGCCAGGTTCTCTCCCAGGCTGGAGTCAAGGGCTCAGGGTCAGTTCTCCTGGAAAGGAGGATGGGGAAGGGGTGTTGCTCTGGGTCACAGCTCCTGAGAACGTCAGTGCAGCTTGGCTAGTCGTCGGCTCAGGCCGAGTCGGGCAGCGCTACCGGCTGACTGCTCAGTGAGAAACTGAGTGAGAAACGCCCAGGGCCCAGGTCTGGAGCTTTCTTTGAGGCTTGGTTTTATAATCTTACAGAACCTTCTAGTTCTGGCCCCTGCCTTCTCTATGAAGGAGGGGGTCAGAGTCCATTGGGGAGGCAGAGCCAGGTGGATCTCTGTGAGTTCAAGGCCAGCCTGGTCTACAAAGTGAGTTCCAGGACAGGCTCCAAAGCTACACAGAGAAACCCTGTCTTGAAAAAACAAAAAAAGTCCCCTCGGGTGTGACTCAGAGATCAGAGAGCAAGCAGCCTTGCATCACTGTAGGATGGGGAGCCCTTGTGCAGGGTTGCGCTGGAGTCAGCAGTGGCAGGCCCTGGGGACAAGAGCTGACCTGGCTTGGCCCTCCCACCCCACCTCTCCCACTCACTGGGTTTGATGGACTCCAGGGGCACAGTGATGTTGGCTAAGGAGAGCTCGGTGGGTGCTGGCTGTGGTGGAGGCCCAGGGGGCTCTGGGGACGTGTTGTGGAGGAGGCTGGTGGCTCCTGGACTGGGCGAGCTGCAGCTGCCCTTACTCTGCAGGTCACGGAGAGTGAGCCGGGGGGCTGGCTGCTGCTTCTCCCTTAATGGGAACAGTGCGTTAGCAACTCATTTCCAGGTGCTCTTGTCAGGGCCCGGGAAGGACTGGGCTCCCAGCTAGCTCTGTGCCTGCAGGTCAGTGGCTCTAGCCTTGGGCATCCTTCCGTGCTGAACCCCCCCCCCCTCTAGGGGGCATGTTGGTGGGCACCACCGTGCCCCATTCTCATCAACTGTGTGGTGTGAAGCCCTTGTCACAGTGGGCAAGGCAATACGCTGGGCTCCCAGGAGCTGACCCCCTGCTGGCTGGTGGGGACGGGGGCCCTGGCAATAGCAGTCCTCACCACCGCACTTGCTGGGCTTCCGGGGGCAGTGCCTGTTGCAGGAGGGTCTTCCCCAAGAGGTCCAGGTCGTCCAGGCCGCTGCTCGTTGGTGGGGGTACCTGTGCTGGGGGTCGGCAGTCCACGCTGGGGGCCTGGGCTGGAGGGGGGACCGAGGGTTCAGCGCCATCTGAGGACTGTGGGCGAAGGAGACGGGGTGAGACTACAGTGCCCTGGTCACACCGAGGCCCGCAGCCTCCCCTCCCCACAGGGGACAGCGGAGACGGCTGAAGCAGAGAGGACAACAGACCACTTGGTCGTGAGGCAGAACACTGGGCCTGGCTGGAGCTGCATGCTCAGAGGACCCCCAAGTCACCTTTAAGGGAAGAAGAGCCCCCTGAGCTTAACCTTGAAGGCAAGGCTGTGGTCCTGTTGGGGGACCACAGGCTGAGGCCCAGGCACCTCTGTGAGGTTAGAAGAGACTGTGGGGCTCTTCCCGAGGGTGGAATTGCCCTGCTCCGAGAGCCTCGCCCACACCCAGCGGGCTGGCCGTCACCTCTCAGGCTCCTGGCCCCAGCCGCCCCACCCCTGGGTCTGTCGTAGGCTGAACCAGCTTCAGCATCTTAACCAGCTTCTTACCTGGAAGCTGTTCCATCCCACACTGTCGGAGCTGGGGCAAGGTGGTGTGGGGTCACTTAGGCCTGTGGAGAAAGCAAGACAGGGTTGGCCAGGGAAGCTAAAAGCTAGCCATGCACTGGCTTGGGGATCCCTGGATTCTTCCCTTTCTCAGAGGCTCACGAATGAAACCCACACTTCTCAGAGGGAACCAGAGGCAGAGCAGAAATAGAAACCATTGTCCCAACAGCCATCCTGCAGCCCACATTTGCTTCCTCTCTTCCCGGCAAGGCCCCACAGAAGCCAACTTATGGGCAGAAGTTGGAACTTTCACCTCTGCCCCTCAGCAGCTAAGAGGGGGAGCTGAGGTCGTGAGGAGGAGAGGAGAGCCTGAGCTCACGGGTCCAGGTGAGCATCTGTGGGCAAGTGCTATCCTGGGTGAACCTGTGTCCATGTGGACCACGGCAAGGTGGATCAGGTAGACTGAAGACTGGCATTAGCCAATAAGGCCAACTGATTGGTGCTGGAGGGCCCTGAGGAGTGGCCCTGGCTGGCAGGAAAGCAGCATGAGCCCTGTCTGTCCTGAACACCTCAGCCAAGCTTCCCCTGTATTTGACTTAGAGAAGATGAGAGACCCGTTTTCAGCAGGTGCTCTCCAGCAGGCAGGGAACTAGCAACTGTCAGGTCTCCCTATGGTGGTCCTTTAAGACCCCAGAGGGAGGGGCTCGGTGCTGTTATGGCTTCTAGTGGGGTGATGGTGAGCGCCTCCGGCTCGGCCAGTGAGGCCCCTGAGGTTCCGGACAACGTAGGAGACCTGGCTCATTTGGGACTCTTTGCTGCCAGAGTTGGGCTGGCCAGGGACTTAATTGACATCGATTGGATGGCACCTCAGCCAGGGGTGTAGCCAGATAATGGAATTCCCGTGTACTCAAACTTCCCGAAGACAGCCTACTGTCTAGGAGCATGAGGTACTACCCCGGTGGCAGCTGAAGTTGACGCCCTCTTCTCCTTGCCTGAACCTGCACCCCACCCCTCCACTCCAGGGCAGCCCCCAGCTTCAGCTGAGACGTTGCCTCTGCACAGTTGTGTGTGTAGTTCCCAAGGTTCTGCAGAGGGTGATCCTTGCCCTTGTCCTGAGGAGTAGTGATGGTTCTTGAAAAAAATATTTCAAATAAAGCTTACACGCGCGCGCGCGCACACACACACACACACACAGAAGGCTGCGTGTGGTGGCACACGCCTTTAGTTCCAGCACTCAGGAGGCAGAGACAGGTGGATCTCTGAGATGGAGGCAACCTGGTCTACAGAGTGAGTTCCAGGACAGCTAGGGCTACACAGAGAGACCTTGTCTTTAAAAAACAAAAACAAACAAAAGAACCCACCCACCAAGCCTAAGGAAAACAGTGTTCACTGCTTACACTTTCAGTGTTCCTCACTCCAGTGGATCTTACTAAAGCCTGTCCTTCCTATTGGGAGAAGCTGCCAATCCTCCCCCAGCACAGCCACACTCCAGCAATCCCCCGCCTCCGCCAGGCCGACCTGGAGTCGCCAGGAGCCCCGGCTTCACCCAGGACAGGGTAGGCAGAGCTGGTGCCCGCAGGCTGCCCCTGCCCCATCCTCTCCCTTACCCAGAGACATGAGCTCGTCATCCAGCAGGGACACCGAGGCACTGGGCTGCTCTGGACTGCTCTGGTTGCCAGGGTGGGTGGGCGTGGCTGGGTATGTGGTGCCCGAGGGAGGGAGGTCCAGGCCTGAGAGGTCCAGCAGGGCTGAGGTACTCCCTGAATGGAAAGGAGAGTTGGGCAAGTCCTGGGGGCCACTCCGAACCTCAGGGGTTCCCCCTCCTCCACTCCGCACCCCAGGCCTCCTGGCCCTTTCTTTAGCAGACGGACAGATGGACGGCACTTGTGTTTAGAATGCAATCAGCTTTAGGGTGAGGGACATGTCAGAAATGTGGCGTCAGTGTGACTGAACAGTGATACCAGCTATGATAGCTGAGGTGTCCCCTGGGACAGCCTTAGGAGATCACTCCTGGTCTCACACCTGAGAGGTCCTCCCACTCTCCAAGGGCCACTCACCACTCGCCTCTCCTGTGCCCCAGCCCCACATACCACGCTGCCGTTTTCCCTGAGTGGTCTGCAGGTCTGTGTCTAAAGCCTTTTCCCTGTCTCTGGCAGTCCAATCAGGCCTAGGCTAGGATCCAGCTCCGCACATCTGGAGCCAGATACACCAGATCAAAGAAAAACCTCCTTCCTTCTGCTCTGGGACAAACTTGGGCTTCCTTCCCCAACAGCTTTAGGCTTCCCACAGGATGCCTCACTCCCTTCTCAGGACCTTCATGGTCTTAAGGGCCAAGGTCACACTGAAGGTCATGCCATGCCACCCTGCACTCAGGGCCCCCCACAGCACTCCTGCGCTTCTCACCAGGAATGGAGCTGGCCGTGGCGTCGCCATTGACCTCCTCACCCCGGACCAGCTGCTTGTACAGGTTGATCACCTGGGTGAGATTGTCGTTAGCCTGCAGGATCTCAGCTGGAACAGGAAGGAGGGGAGAGGCCAGTTAAAGGATGGGGCCTCTGGATAGGGGAGAAGAGCCTCCCACATCCACCCCAAAGGGTTCCCCCCACCCCACCCCCCGGAACTGAGGACCGAACCCAGGAGTGCTCTACCACTGAGCTAAATCCCCAACCCCAAATGTCCTTCACGCAGGATTTTTTTTTTTTTTTTTAAGACAGTGTTTCTCTGTGCAACAGTCTTGGCTGCCCTGGAACTCGATTTGTAAACCAGGCTGACCTCGAACTGACTGAGATCCGCCTGCCTCTGCCTCCCAAGCACTTGATTAAAGGTGTGCGCCATCACCGCCCGGCTCCAAAGGGTATATGAAGGGGAAGGGCCCCCATCCCACTGCATCTATGGGGTGCAGAGAGCTGAGCAGGCGTAGAAACTTGGAGGTGGAAATGTACTCAGAACGTCCAGGGGACAGCCAGGCAGGGAGGAGAGTGAGACAGGGAGGGGTCGGAGGGCCTGAGTGGATGAGATGGGATGATCTGCCACCCTGGTGCTCTGGGACCTGAGCGAGGCATTCGCTTGTTGAACCCCCGCTGGGAAATGGGGCGAGCTCCCCCTCCTGGGCAGGAGACGAGATGCCTGCTCAGGACCTTGTGCATGGAGTCCGCCATAGCGGTCTCTGCAGCCTTCTCAGGTCAGGGCTGGGGAAGGAAGGAGGCCCCCTCCTGGTGGCTCCTTCCAACTGCGGGCCGGTGTCTATCAGGGCCTGAGGGAGGAGGTGGCGGGACAGGGCTGGGCCTGACTCACCTAAAGCCTCGTCATTGTCTTCTGTGTCACTGGCCAATCGGAAGAGTGTGGGCCGCATGCGCTCACAGCGCTGGTACAGTTCCTAGGGGGACAGGGTGAGTGGACAAGGGTTCTGGGGGGGGGGGGGGGTTGGGGCCAGGCTGGGAGCGGCCAGGAGCAGGCCCACCTTCATGAGGTCCTCACTGCTGCTGGCGGTGGCTCCCTGGCTGTGGCTCATCACCATCTCTGTCAGCAGCTTCACGCTGTTGTTCACCTCCCCGATGGCATTCACCCGCTTTGAGATCTTCTCCATCCGCTTCTGGTCCTGTGGGCAGCAAACGGCAGAGGCTGTCTCAGGCCTGCCACTGGCCCGGAGCTGGGACGAGTCGGGAAGAGAACTGGATGGGCATGACTTCAGCTCTGTGTGGCCAAGTCCTGCTGAGAGCTTGCCACTCAGGGACAGGTCCTCTGTCCAAGAAGCAGTCTACCACCATGTGTCTGTCCCCCTTCCTACTCTCCTGCCAGAGTCCCAGATCCAGGGGTGGCCCGAGATCACCCCAAGAGTTTCTAGACTCATGGCTATGGTCCTGTGCCGTTCTTGCCCTCCCTGTGTCTGTCTCTTGAAGACGACGTCCCCACACTTGACAGTGAGAGGGCAGCGTTCTTGGTCAGCACTCACAACCTAGAAACAAGGTACGCTGTCCCTCCTTGTATCCGTAGGTGCCCGGCAAGTGCGGGGGCTGCTGGCCTTTACAGGTAGCTGAAAGAGGTGATCCACTCTGCAGCCCATTCTGTTCCTAGTGTCTCCACTGCAGGAGGTGGGCATGCTCAGGGCCGTCTCACAAGGCCTGACCCTCTAACACAGCCCTGAACAGAAGCCACCCAGGCCTGTGACACGCCCTCTCCTGCAGCGGGAACTGAAGAGCAGCCCCTGCCAGGCAATCTGGACCCAGGCTTAGCTTGACCAACCTGCAGGACTAGATCTTGCCTCTGAGGAAGAATGAACTAGCAGTTTCTGTGAGGCACACACTTTTAAAACATCTGGAAAATTCTATGCTGCTATCATTAGTGAGTTGGGAGATTTCATGTAGAAGTCTACATTTTCTTTCTGTTTTCAAAGACAGTGTTTCTCTGTGTAGCCCTGGCTATCGTGGAACTCACTCTGTAGCCCAGGCTTGCCTCAAACTCACAGAGATCCGCCTGGCTCTGCCTCCCAAGTGCTGGGATTAAAGGCGTGTGCCACTACCGCCTGGCTTGAAGTCTATATTTTCAAAGAAAAAAAAAAAATCACTTGATGATCTAGATACACAGGGCTGCAGGGGGAGTCACCTGGGGTACAGGCTGGGCTGTCTCCTGTCTCACGGGCATCTGCCTTGTGGCCTTGACCCTTGATTTCCCTACTGCCAATCCTGAGCCTAGAGAATGTGTTAGTCCGGCCTCTTCTGTTTGTGCTATTAAGTGCCTTTGTTTGTGGCAAAGTTTCATTGTGTAGCTCAGGCTGGCCTGGAAGTCAAGTCAAGGCCATCTTCCTGTCCTGGCCTCCCCAGTGTTGAGATTAGAGGTGTGAGCCACCTTGCCACATCCTGAATACTTCTTAAAAAATTTTGGTTTGAGAGTCTCTCTCTACATAGCCCAGACTGTCTTGGAACTATGTAGACCTTGAACTCACAGAGATCCACCTGCCTCTGCCTCCCAAGTGCTAAGATTAAAGGTGTGCACTAGCACACACCAGTCCTGAATGTGTTTTTTGATGATTTGCCTTATTAAATGTCCGTGTAACTTCCAACGTATATTAACTTACACACTAATCATACATTAACACCTGTGTTTTGCTGTGTGTGTGCACAGCTATATACATCCACACATACTTACATACATACTTAAAAAATACTTTAGGGTTCAATTTGTTTTGGGGGGTGCTGATGATGGATACCACGACATCACGCATGTTGGAAAAGTGTTCTACCACTAAGCTGTTGCCTCGATATAGTCCCAAAGTACTTCTTCAGAGTGTTTGTATTTACTGACGTGTGTGTGTGTGTGTGTGTGTGTGTGTGTGTGTGTGTGTGTGTGTACATGTGCCCTAGTGTGCACGTGGAAGTAAGGACAACTGGTCAGAGTTGGTTCTTTCCTTCTGCTATGTGGGTCCTCAGGGACCTAGCTCAGGGTGGCAGCACCCATCTATAACTGCTGAGTCATCTTGCTGGCTCCCAATTTTCTTTCTTTCTTCTTTCCTTTCCTCTTTCCCTTTTCCCCTTCTTTCTTTTCTGTTCTTTTTCAAGACAGGGTTTTGGGGCTGGAGAGATGGCTCAGAGGTTAAGAGCACTGACTGCTCTTCCAGAGGTCCTGAGTTCAATTCCCAGCAACCACATGGTGGCTCA